TGAAAAAAAAAATGAGTTTACAAAATGCTTTTCTAGTTATTTTATCCACCTAAGGCAGACATGCTCATACATTCATACCCAAATGGATATGAAACATTAGCTCACAATGTAATGAATAATCTTTATCATTCATGGGGGAAAAAAAACTTGTTAAAGCTAAGAATACAGAGATTCTTAAATATAGTAAATGTACATTTAATCTCCTTAAAATGTTAGATTAGTTAGAGTAGAGGTCCCTTGTAATTATTTTCACTGTATGAGTCATAAGGTTAGGAGAAAAGGATGGAAAGATGCAGAGTGGCCTAGATCAATATAATGGCCTATATAGATAATAGTTACTTTTCTCTAAAGGCAGATTTAATAAAAGGAGACATTTTTTATAGCCATAGAATTAAAGAGGTCACTGCTATGAAGGCATGGACACCAAATAGTGGCACACCCTATCACAGGAGTCTGCAACCTTTACAATCCAAAGAACCATTTTCACATTCAGTCCAGCAAAGAAAATATTTTGTGGCGTTTTTAAACGCCAAAACATTTTTAAATGATCACTGTGCCATTTCAGAAGATTTAAAATAAAGGAAAAAACTTGAGAACAGAATAAATATATTTGATATTTGTTTTTGAAATCTTTGAAAAGTTATTAAAAAAAATTCCCACGTAAAAAGAGTTAAAAAAAATATTTCTGTTACATTTAAAGTCAAATTATTTTTGGTAATTTTAACACAATTAGTCAATCTGTTGGTTCATTTTTTTTCCCAAAGATTAGCTGACTCTTCATCATCTTTGGCCAAAGTGATGAAGAGCCATTTTCAAGTGTCTAAAGAGTCACAGGTTGCAGAGCCCTGCCCCATCAGACCCCAACTCAGTGTGACACATGGTTTACTGATATCACTGAGGTATAAGAAACCACTGGGAGTGTTTTTCATTTATCAGCCTTTTTCACAAAGGCAACATCTTCCAGACAATGATACCTGCCCTGTTAAATTTTACTATTTCTCTGCTAAAACTAGAATAAATCACATTTATGTTAAAGTACTTAGTGCCAACAATGTTTTTAAACCCTAGGCTGATTTTTCAGATAGAATCTGAAGTGAATTAAGACTATTCAACAGGGTTGGTATGTCCTAAAAGTTTAAAGAACAAAAAAAAACATATATAGTAAAAAAAAATATGCACACACAAAAGCTTTATGTTATACTATTTTATTCTGTTTGTCACATTTTTATTTAACAGAAATCAGGAATTGGAGGCAGCTGTGAATGGTGTGTCCACATCCTGTCTCTCACCAGTGCTGCGTTTCAAGTAAAAAAAAAAACAACTATTTTTTTTTTTAACAGATAAAAGAGAGTAGTGATTTCAGCCCTCGATCAGACTGGAACAATGAGATGAACCCATGTGGAGATCAATGACTGTGGGAAAATCAGAATGTTTTACCGTCTCAGAGCAGGAGTTTTAAGTTTCTCAAGGTGAAGAACACTTTGTCATAGATCCTTACTGTAGGCCTGTTTTTTTTTTATTGAAATGAGTTTTCACATATCAAACAGCGGCATCATCCTGTGAATCGTTTTATTGTGAAAAGTGAGACATGAGCGGCGGAGGCAGAGAACAAACAGCAGATTAAATACACACGAGACTAAAGTTTCTATTTCCTGCACATGTAGACAGACTGTCGTGCTGCACATTTACTTCATTCTACTGCTTCTAAAGTGTTTAATACTGAAACTAGGCATCAGGTTTGATTTTTTTTCTTCTTTTACAGCATTATGAGATGAACACTCTTAGTTTTTTTTTTATCACAAAGAACGGGAAAGGTTTGCAACCTTTATCTCAAAAGCTCCTGTTGCATCAAAAAGGGACATTTATTGTACAATGGTGAAGAAATATGCATCAATTTTAGTTTGCTTTTTTCCCTGCAATAAAACAGGATATGACCGTATCTTTAAATCCTTGACAACAGGCAAGACTTCAATTGGAAAATTTGTTAAAGTCGCAAACAGTAAATAAAAAAAGAAAGAAAGAATACTCAAGTTGGAGGCAGTTTGCAGGTTTTTGGTAAAAGTCTGTACCTGCAAATATGAAAAAAAAAAAAAAATCACAGAAACATGACTTTTTTTAGACAGTAGACAACAGGAGACAACTCAGAGAACAAAACATTTTGCACAAAAAATTTAAGTGTAATATGTAATTCTAGATAAATTAAAACACTAAAGAAGAAATAAAATGGCACAGATATATTATGGATTTACTTTGCAATATTCAGGTTCAAACCAACAATGGAACAGGTGAAAACAACAGAAATCAAATGGATCCAGTGCCCGTCTTGTTTAAATAGAACAGAAACTAAAAAATTTATTTTGAAATTAAAGCCTGTGAAAACGCTCTAGTGGAAAAACGTTCTAGTAAAATAATTTGATTGGACCTTTTCAACAAGGTCATTTGGGAAACCTTTTTAGATTTTTATTTTTAAGTACAACTTTAGGCTTATCTCTAACATTTCTAAGTTTTTTTCACAGATTTCTGCAGTACGAAAAGAAAAATCACAAGGTTTATTTTACAATTTTCCATACCTCCATATTACTAAATATCTTTTGATTGTCTTAAAGTGAAATTACTGAGATAAAAAAACATCATAATTAATCATCATCAGCAAATAGAAACAGCCTATTTAAATATGATCATATAATGAGGAGACGGTTTCATTTTTAAATATTTGATCCAAAATTTGCGCCAGTAAATCTGCCACCTTAAAAGGTATTTTTATTCTTAACTGATGAAAAACATAATTGCAACAGAAAATATTTCCCTGCTTCTAAATTCGCATTAAACTGCAATTTTCTGTCCTTTATATGTGAAATATGTTAAATCTACAAGACAACTGAATTATTACAGAAGCTTCCTATTTTTATCACCATCTGCAGTTTGATGGATTGAATAAATGGTTTGTCCTTTCAGCAGGGAAAACAAGGTAACAGTAACAGCATGATCTGCAGTCTTTATATTTTAACATAGTTTGCTCAATTCTGTGTAAGAAAATCTGCAGAGGAAGGTTCACATGTTAAACTGTAAGTGTCCTGTTTTTTTTTTTTTCATGCAGTTTCTCTTCTGACCAGCAGGTGTCCCCAGATAACGTTTCAATCTGAGGACTGAGTTTGCTGCTGTTGGAAACAAGAACTAATTCAGTGAAGTAAATTATATAATGTAATAAAAGATAGAAGGTAAGTAGTCAATCTGAGAACCTCTTTGAATTTCCCTCCTTGAATGAGGTAAAATCTCACACAAAAAACAACTAGAATATTTTGAATCATTACATTTCCACACAGAAGTCACCTGGAGCCAATATTTAAGGTGAATCAGTTCTAGGATTCAAAATGATACTCATCTGATTATATTTTATAAAAGTATGTCCATTAGTTGCTGGATTCTCTTTTTAACACCAAACCTAAACTTTAAAACGTGAATTTTACTCAGCTTGGGCCAATGATGGGTTAAGACTGCACCAACAGTTTCTAGAATTGGAAAAAAAATATTTTGCAACTAATTAAATATCTTTATATGATTAAACAAAAAAGAAAAAAAAACCCACAAATTTCCTTTAGTTTGACCTCAATAAATGAATAGAGTTTTAATTTCAGTTTAGATGCCTGCGCATCAACGAGGCCTCCGATTCTGATTGCTGCCCAATCCTCTCTGCACCTGTCCCTCATGGTTCCCCCTGAAGTTGGTGGGCCCACTGGGGGATGGCCTTGTGTCATTACTTCAGGCTGGGCCTGGCCGTGTACCATGAGAACCAGACCACCAGGGTCTCTCCGACCAACCCCAACCACAGACCTGGCTCCAGGGTGGGGTCCTGGCTTTTCTACACTGGGGAGCATCACGTGCCCCGATTTCTTGGGTGGCTCGGACATCATTTTCAGATGCCCCTGGGATGCCTCCCTCAGGAGATATTTCAGGCACGTCATACCGGGGGGAGGCCCAGGGGACGACCCAGGACACGCTGGAGGGACTATGTCTCTCGGCTGGCCTGGGAGCGCCTTAGGCTTCCCCCAGCAGAGAAGGAAGAGGTGTCTGTGGAGAGGGAAGTCTGGGAGTCTCTGCTGAGACTGTTGCCCCCATGACCCGTCCCCAGATAAAGCGAGAGACTAAGAGTAAGGGTTTCATTTTCAATTCCAATTTAAAGCAGTTGGGAGACAGGAATTCATCCTGTTACGGTCTTTAGTAGATAATCTTCAACAGTTAAATTGTATTCTGAATGTTACGGTGCATGAGGCTGAGGTAAGACTGGCCCTTTTTGCTCCTTATTTTTGCAGGTAATGGTGCTTGGGGTAGAGGTGGGAGATGTGGAGTCAACAAGTCAACTCTATGCCATGTGTTTGTTCTGCCAAACTACTGATTCAGGTGAGTCCAAGCAGCACAGTGAAATTAATTGTGCAGTAATAGCCCTAACCCTAAACCCTCACCTACAGCAATTTAGGATTACACTATATTTCGCTCGCTTGGTTGTCCTAAGCCCCATTTACACTACCCTTTTGAAACCGCGCTAAGAACAGTCAAAGCATGGCAGCCAAGATAACTGTTGAGTGTCAATGGAACGCAACTGAACTGGACCATGCCAGACACAACTGAACAGCGGTAGATCTAGTACCAGTTCAACAGTAGGGCTCAGCACGGCTCAGTTGTAGCTCGGTTCTCTGATAACAAAGAGCGCATGAGCAGACCACATCATCCCCTATTTACAGTCAGCTGACTCATTTCACAGGTTTTCCGCCATGTCCGGCTTTGTAATTCACAGATCTCTTCATCTGTCCACAACACGAACTTCTTCTAAGCCTTTTCACAATAAATGGCTTTAAAAGAGCGTGGTGCGACCTGGGATTATACAGAGACTGAGGCTCTCATTTAAATTTTGGCGGAGGACGCAATCCAGGCACATAAGTTCCTGAATGTTATGGGTGCCACCATTTTTGTTTGCGTTATTCCCGCCTTCAATAAGGCCACCAATAGGAGGCAAGGAATCGTGCTAGCGTGATGCGTAAATGGTCGTAAGGAACCAAGCTCAGCACGGTTAACTGATCCAGGCTCAGTCCGATCTCGGCACGGATCGGTTTCAGAGGGGTGGTGTAAATTCGGCAATAGAGTGCCAGCCACTAGGAGGTGGGGGATCTACAGATCCTTGCCTAGGAGCTTCCTTCTGAACCCTGCCGCCACAAAAACATGTCTAGATAGAACTTCTTACCACCATCAGGATTCCAAACCACATAAGAAAACCTCAGGAGAAAAATTCAATAAATCAGACTATCCCCTCTAATAAGGCTAATTTTAACGCATTATAATTACCAATGGTCAATACAAACCTTTAAGTGGGTATTCATATGTTACATCAAGCCCACTTTTCTGTATCAAAACCTTTTTATTGCTCTGTTGTATAATTATCTCAAATGTAGTTTGTAATCAGCTGTAAGTGGAAAGTTTTCTGTGTAGCATCAGGTTCAGCTCCAGGAGGGACTGGCGTCCTTTACAAACGAGATTTAATTATGATAAAAGATTTAACTTTAACACTTTACTTGTTTCTGCTTAAATAGATGACGCTCTACTGTATGAGGACTGATCAGCAGCGTCCGACATTTTTCACATGAAGAACACTTAAAAAATGATGCAGGAATGAGGCCCAGCATCTGTCCATAGTTCCTGTTTTTCCCTGTGGAATTTCCTGTTACAGTAAGTAATACCATGTTTTTGTTTGTGGATTCCACAGTAGGCAGGACAGGATGGATTCGTCACAGGAAGACTATTAAGCACTGCACCCTCTGCATTGTATGTTGTGTATATTGATTTCAGAGTGATATTTTCAAAGTGTTTTCATAGTATACTACTTGTGCATTTTGACTTCCTGTTTTTAATCCTGTGAGCATTTGTACGTGTGGTACATTGTTGCCCAATAAGCAATGAGTTTGAAAGGCCATTTAAGGCAGCATTTCATGGAGATGGTTTAAAAGGCTGGGAAAGGGCGATGGCACGGAAGAGTGGAGACAACACTGAGCAGCAGATGCAGCTGCATGAGAGACGGGGTGAAGCCAGGGTACGACGATCCTCACAACCGTTGGGAAGAGTTTCTCTGCCCATGGGCATTAGTGACACTTCACTAACCTGGCACAATGTGCCAGCTGCTGCAGTTGGCAAACTTGTGTGTGGTGTGGACAGGGGACTGCCCTGAGTTTTACTTCACTGTCGACAGAATTGGTTTGTGGCAAACCATCATCCCGTACGGGATGCTCACTACAGCAGCTGGAAGAAGAAGAAGAAGAAGAAGACTACACACAGATGCTCCAAACTCTGCCTCTGTGTTTCTGGTCTTCTTCATGACCCTTTACAATTTTACATTTTAGTGTATCATTTAGTGTTAGGCCCAATTATTTTAATGTTTTTAAGTGGGTAATAGTTTTTAACGTTTTATTGGTTAATGACAATGCTCGCCTTATTTTAGTCTTTTAGCATACTTCATCAAAAGAGTTTCTAGTACTCTTTGAAATAAATACTGGGTGGCGTTGTTTTCAGTTTGATGTTTGGCCTTACCTCAGATCATTGTATGGCCCTACCCTACAATGATCTTGGCGCTGCAGCTACATCATATAACTGATGGGAAATTAACCTGGAAATAATCGTAGTACATCTAAGTACAGCCTAATGATACATAAAAAAAAAAAAAAAAGCAACAGCTTCTTCTTATTTGAGCAGTTTCCCGAACCTGTTTGAGAAGCACTTATTTTGAATTGTCACAAAAGTGATTATAAAACAGTATGCTATGCATGCAGTACTCCTGCATATCGGGACTATTTCAACAAGTCTTTTCCTTTTTTGAAAATCTTACCATTTAACTTCTAAAAGTACTGCACGAGATTATAGCTGTGTCTGAACGTCCGCCCTAACCCCTCGATCACTATATAGAGCAGAGACTATATAGTGGGCTTTATAGCGCACTCAGCTAACAGATGAGATGACCACGAGTTTTCGCTCCCTATTGGTCACGTGACTCTGTCTCCCCGCACCTGGCCTGCACCATCTTTGTTCTCTCTCGCCCTGAAAACAAATCCCATAATGCTTTGTAAGGAGAACTCTTGCAAAGCCTTTTGAGATATATCTGCTCCTCTAGTGACCATGGATGAAACTACTTTTCAAGACGCATCGTAGGAAATCTTGAGTTCACTACTTTTTCATCCACTCGACATTCGGACACTCATATAAAATGGCGTAACCCCATCCAGTGCTCTATATAGGCCTTATTCATCTAAATATTTATCAACGAAACAACTGCTAAGCAAATACTAATTGATCAGCTAGATTAAAAAAATATATACTAATTAAGGTTATTAAACAAAGAAAGGCTCAACTATAAAAGATAAAGCATTATTCTCTAAGGTTTATATTCTAGCTAAGTTTTTAAAATTGAGATTTAACACACCTCCAAATTGCGCCACAGCTATCTCTGCTACTTGCTAGGGGCAATAAAGTTGTTGCTCACCTAATGTGCCTAAATAATGACCATTTTAATTTAATTTCATACTTTTTAGATTGCATTCTAAGCGATTCTGCGGAAATCTTAGACAGAGAAGATCTGCAGGAATTTTTCCTCAAGCTGAAATTAAACCTGTTCAGACTTGCAGCAGAGCAACTTAGTGTGGATAAACCTTGTTTGTGAGCACTAAGAGGATAGGAGCATCATAAATGATTTTCAGACTGAGAGGTTTTTGTTCTGTTACTTCGATCCAGCTGCTTTTGACTGATAAGAGCGGAGCTCATTCTGTGTGAGACTGTAGTGAACAGTATCACAAAGTGTGATACTGAGAATTTATCTCATTTTTTCCAAAAGGAAGATCAATAGAGACTAAAAAAAATGTAACTGCCATTATGGAGGGAAGGAAAGCTCTCAGCCTGCATATTTAGACAGCGTACTCCTTTCACTGCTGATAAAGAGGAGATAACTTCATCAGGACCGCTTCATGGCGCTCAGCTGCTTGTTTTCAGTAAAAATGTTTCTGTTATCAATAGAATATCTTAGTAATGTCCTTCTAGCTTTCTTCCTTTCCTCAATCAACAGACTGCATGTGGCTCATTTCTCCAGGATTGTATTCAGGAGGACAGATGCTGATCCTATTCTGCTCAGGATGAGCAGCTTAGTGGGTTGTGCAACACTGCTGAGATGAATGGATGCAATGGACAGAGCTGGCAAAGAGGAAACCAGACCACTAGTGGTTCCTCCCCTTAGAGGGAACAACAAAAGGCCTTCCACTGGACAGAAACCTGTTCTGCTGCTCGGCCTGCTGACCTGCAAGCTGCATTTAGACTGTTAAAACATACAAGAGAGAAAACCTGGACTCTAAACACTGTTTTCACATAGCACCATGCCATCGGTTTCCAGTTCCTGACACTAAATCATCCTGTATCACATTTCCAGGAGTTTTTTTTTTTGTTTCTTTTTTTTAAATAATTTTTGTTCTGAAGAGGACAAACATTGCTTGCGTGACGGTGAAGACAGAAAAACAGAAAATGAAGAAGAAGTAGTACGCAGATGTTAGGGGGAAGCTGAGGTATCCATTCAGGAGAGTCTTCTAGTCTGTCGGGCTGATTTCTGGTTGTTCTGCACATGTGAGGGCTGAAGTGACAGAAGGCACATGTAGCCGGGGTGTGGGCGGGATTTATGATCAGTGAACTACCATCCATCCAGACGGGAGCTTTTCTCTGCTCAATGCACCAGCTGCTGCATCACAAAGAAAACCTCTCAAGCAGATTTCTCTCTCTCTCTCTTTTTTTTTTTTTCCCCTCACATAAAGCTCTCTGAGCTCTCTGGTCTGCCCAACATTTGAATAAATCTGGGCCTCTGGATGGGTTCTGACCAAGACAGGGGAGTCATGGGCCAAAAAACGGTTCTGGGCTGAGTTTCAAGGATTTAAACTCTGACTGAAACGTGTTCCAGCGAGCGAGCTGGAGCGGGAGTGGAGGCGGCTGCTGCAGGCGAACCTGCCGGAGGAGGGGGAGGAGTTATTGCTTTAAGCTCATTGCCAGGACAACTCTGTGTACTAACGCCTCGGTTAAGGGCGCCAGCGCGCAGAGGGCCGTTAATGTGAGGCATAGCATGGTCGGTGCGTGGGATGTTGACAGGACAGGAGCGGGTGCGGGCGTGGCCCTTATGGCCCCCCGGGTGGCACACGAGACTCCCGACGGTGTCCACGGGCGACAGATGCCGTTTGAGCCAGCGCTCCACCCGCTCCTCCTTGTACTTGATGGAGTACCAGGTGAGGAAAATGAAGAGGAAGCCGAGGAACTTGAGGCTGGCGGCCAAGCCGAAGTAAACAAACCTCAAGGAGGTGACGTCGTATTCCCAGCAGGAGCCGTGGACGCCGCAGTCCTGCTGCCACAGCATGCAGGTGGTGTCAATGACCGCACCAAAGTAGATTGGTGTTGGGATGTAAGCTGGGGGCAAGAAAAGAAGTATATTTATGGGAAGAAGGAAGACAGTAAAACAAAATCCCTCTGAATCCTCAGATCTGAGCCGTCTACTGGTTTCTACTCACCTAGAGTTCTGAGGAGAACAAACTGCATCCCTAAAGCAAAAGGCCTTTCCTGCTCTGCAACAGACCTGCAGCAAACAGAAACGTAAAGATTAAGAGAAGAAAAGACACACAACAGCTTTGTGTTACTGCTGTTACTTCACAGTCGCTTTAACATTTATCCCTGTTGTTCTTTGCTTTTTCTACCGCACCTTTTCCTTCCACTTAACTTTCCATTAATGTACTTGGATGCGCCACTCTTAGAACAGCTGGTTTCTTTTCTGAGGTCTACCAGCAGCAGGCGGTGTTAACAGGGAATGTTTAGATAATAACATTTTTAGTATAAGAAATAGTTTTTTGGTCCTACGGAACATTTCCATCTCTTGATAGACTGAGTTTAGGGTTAAAGGAAGATATATAAGTTTCATATATTCAATTTAATTACTCCTACAATAGTTTAACATGTGACTATACACAGCTTCTGTACCCTCCTGTGGAAGAGATGAAGATGGACAAACAAGTGATGTTTGCACCAATGCAGTCCAGAGGTAAATCCAGATAAATATAACATACATTTGGGGAGAAATTGAGGAAGAGTATTTTTTAAGACATGCTGGTTTTTTTATTTTTTTTATTTCATCTAGTAAAGCCCTAGTTGTCACAAATGGTGCATTTGTTCTTTTTTGTTTAATATATCAATTTGTGATTTTTGTTTCTGTTTTTCTGCATGAATTTTGCCTTTTATATATGAAAAGAATAGCAGAAAATGTAAAATAATTTTAATGAATTATTTTTAGAACATAATTGTTTCAATAAATTAATTAAGTCTCAACATATAAATAAATATGACCCACCAGTGAATATCTGCAATACGGAAATCAGTCTAAATCATTTTGGATATTTGTTAACGGTTCTAAGATACTCCTTTCTAAATGTAAGAAGACATTATTTAATCTGAAGGATTAAAAATTTATACCAATTCAAATTACCATAAATATTTTAGGGAGATACTAATCATGATTGAAATAAGGCAGCCCATCAAAGTTGTGTTTAACTCTGTAGTTTAATTTGTAATAAAAAACTGGGCAAGTAATGACAAAACAAGTTCAAGGAGCGTTGGGATTTGAAACAAAAAATAGAGTTTAATATTCAGTTTGACCTAAATAGCTTGAACGTGTTCAGGACATAAACAATATGTCTATCAAGTTGTTTTTTTTGACAGATTAATGGACAGATTGTTCCTATCAATAAATGTCTAGTTTTCAACTCCGCCTGTGTTACCCTCTCAAAAGCCTCAGATTCTAACACAGTTTCCTACGAAAAAGCAGACACCACCAAACCTCCAGAGGAAAACTCTTTCACATTTAGAAATAAATAAGAGTCTCTGCAACACTGTTGAGCTGGATGTAACCTTAAGATGCTGCGTTTATGATAATGAGATAACCAAACCAAAGTCTGAACCCTCTGTGATTAGAAATAACAATGAGAAAACAGAGAAGGAAAGAATATTATTTACCTGAGGGTGACGATGATGGCAGAGGGCTGGGCGCAGGCGGTGATGAGCGTGACAATGAAGAGGAAGATGAGGAACGGGATGAGGGTATTGCAGGTGCGATCGCACTTCCCTGACACGGCATAGCCGTTCTCGTTCAGGTAGGTTTTGACGATGACGAGCTGCAGCTGGTTGCTGCCCTGACCGCTGGACGGCGGCGTTATGACCTGTCGGCTCTGCACGCAGGCGCAGTCTGAGTAGTTCCGGATCTGAACACAAGAAGAGGGATGAAAGATAAAACCTTTAAAACACAACAGAAATTAAGTGGTAAGACAGTGCAGCACAGTCTGACATATAGGAAGGAAATTAAGTCATTATTTTGACCTGTTTTTCTCCAGCGAGGGATAACTGAACAACATACAACTTTAATTATATCATTGACTTTCTTTGATTCCCATTGTCTAATTCATCCAAACAAGCTGAAATATATTCACTTTTGTGTTAATATCTTGGTAAATATCTGTTTGCAAGTTTAACCATGACTATAATCTACCTGTAGCCATCAAAAATCCTCTGGCATAAATCAGCCTTCTTTGCACCAGAAATGTTTGATTTCCAGACATAGAAGATTTTAAGCCCATTCTAAACTCATTAAGGTCTTGACTTTATGAAGCAGACCACTGAAGCTTCATTTGGGATTGATGTGAATCCAAAACCGCATTATATGTGCATTTGGAATCACTGTCTTTTTCAGGGTTTATACAGGAATGGGTAACTCTAATTTAATGCTTTTTAATGCTCATTTAATGAGCTTAGAACAAATGTAAATGCCATCAACAAGTACCCATGACCTTCATACTGTATATATGTATATATTAGTATATATATATATACACATATGTATATATATATATGTATATATACATACGTATATATACGTATATATATATACGTATATATAGATATACATATGTATATATACATATGCATATATATGTATATATATATATAAAACATGGCAACATGGCTGCAGCAATGTCCCAAATTCATAGTTTTTCAGCCACTTTTGTTGAAATTTGCGTCTTCCCATTCTCTAGCTGTTCCTCTGCCTTGACCTACTTTACCGAGCATACGGCTTTACGATTGCGGAAAACATGTGGAATATGATATACACTTGGAACTGATATATCTTACAAAATTGTTTTCATAAATGTTTTTTTTTTTTTTAAATAAAGCATTTTAAATGCCACGATAATCACATTTAACCCTGTTATTATTTGTGTTGCGCCGATGCCGTTTTTTTGCCCTGATACCGATATCCGATACCTAGCTGTGCAGTATAGGCAGATACCGATACCATATTGATACCATCTGTTTGAAATTGATGTGTGTGTATAAATATGAAGAACTGTGTTCTACTTGGATGTAAAATAATTGCCATCATGGCTTTGTCAAGCTGCTGCCTACCTTTGTAAAGCAGGAAAAAGACTAATGCAAAGTGAATCCAGTTGAACTTTTTATTGCCTACCTGGAATATAGCCCTATTTGTCGGTACACGCCGATACCGATACCACCATTTTAGTGCAGCAGCCCTGCTGGATACTTGTATCGGTATACGTGCAACACTACTTATTATGACAAATGTGTTGTCAACATTGTCTGAATGTCTGGTAAGCATACAATGATCTGGAAACTGAATCATATTAAGGGGTTGATCAGGAAGTTGACCAGGAAGTAGGTTCCCTCATTAAAATATCTTCACAGTTATTTATTTGAGCTGTTTAGCCACAGTGATGAGGAACAATTATTAGTCAAGATGAGGTCTTCTAACGAAACAACACTACCAGCTTTTAAGTACAGTGATGGTACCATCATAATAGAAAGATCAATTTCTAGACATCTGGAGTTGAAAGGGATTAATTAGACTAACATTCGTTTTTTTAGAAAACCATTCATCAGCAAGCAATTTGCTTTAACAATGGTCCAGAGCCACAAAATTAACCAGTTGATCTGGACTGTAGTAACTCTGCCCAATCAGACATTCAAAGGTGCATGCTCATGTTCTATGTAACTTTTGATTTTCAGTTTANGAGTTTTTTCCCTCCACCGAAGCTACATGCATGCTGTGGAGTCAATGACATAATGGAAGCAAATATCTTTTGTCGCCACGAGCTCATCCAGGAAGAGGTTGTCCTGCAAAGTCCATGAGTCACGCAATCAGCTGGTTCTCTTTAGATAGAAAACTTTGAACTAATCTGACTGTATAATCTGGTTGAATTTTCTCTGTAAAGCGTCTTGAGATGATGTGTTGTAAATTGCCACTATAAATAAAGCGTATTACTGTATATACTGTATATAAAGCGAAAACATTAGAGAGGGATACTAAACATCCAGTTAGATTAAAAATGGAAGCTTCAGGATGGCTACACAAAACATGGATATGGGTATGCTTTATAATCATACCACCCTGTTAAAGTCATTTAATGTTTAAATTTAGTTGAATTAAAAGAAATTTTGATTTATTTCTTAATAAGCTTTCTATTCTGTTTATTTTTTCACATATTTTCTCAGGGTTAGGCGGTGTTATATCATTAATCAAACAGTATCAGCAGGTGCATGTTTCCTCACTCGCCCTCTTTCTTACCCCGTTGCTGTCGTTGGCCACGCTGCTGCAGCCGGCCAGGCAGGGGTTGAAGTAGGTGATCCCATCGGAGCCGCAGACCGGAGCGTACTCGTGGATCTTACATCCACAGTTCACGTTACAGCCTCCTGTCAGGTTCCTCTGAGTCATGGTGAGCGTCGGCCTGTGGGAAGGAGAACATGCACAGTCAGAGACAGGATTAATATGGGTATGACAGGGTAACGTGAGGAGCAATAACCTCAGGATGCCACATCTACTTGCTGCAATTCCATGAAGATGGTTTCAGTAAATGACCTGAAAAGAACCTAATTCCAAGATGGTGTGATTTGGTGAGAAAAGGGGAGAAATTTATTAAGTAGATAGTAAGAAGCGAGGGAAATAAAATAACTAAAATAAAAGGGAGTAAGAAAAAAAGAGGAGATGAAAGAGGAAGGACATCTAGGTGCTAGGGGAGGACATGGAGGAAGAAACACGTGAAATGACAAGGCGGGAAGCCAAAGACCGTCTGTCCCCAAGCTGTCCTTGGACCCTCTCCATCTGAGTCATGTAATCTCACTGAGAGACACTCCAACCAGAAAACGCCTCCGTTTACAGACTCATAACGCAGAATCTATGCACTGATCTGAAGACTCTCTGAATTTACAGATGAACTGGAAACAAAACTGGATTAGATAAAACTCTTCAGATTTTCTGTCTGGTGGTGAAGGTGGGTAAAGACTGGGGGAGGGAAGGTGTTTAAAATCTCATGAGGCAGAAAAACATTTGCTTTTGCAGATAAGAGCAAAAGCTGTTCTAGAAACTTTACTTTCTATTTCACACAGAGGTCTTAAGCAGCTTTCCCCTTATCTCCAATGCTTTTACACTTTGAACAGATAAATACAAAAACTAAAGATAGAAAAACACATAAAGTGAAGCATTAAGTCTGTATTTTGAAGGTTTCAAGAGCTTTTTTCTAGAGAACGTTGGAGAACCGACATAGTGAAGACCACGAAGTCCAGCAGACAGGAAGCTGAAGAGGTAAAACAGTTAAATACTATCTAAAAGTTTCATGTAACAGGTCTCTTTTTCATCATTTGAACATGTAGAGAGGATGGACCAACAGCAAAACTACAGTACCAAGATATGGACATCCACCTGAATCGACAGGGCATGGTGACTTTGGAGGAGCTGCAGAAATTCATAGATGGAAGAACCAATTCCCAGGATAACTATTACCCCATAGAGCAACAGGCAGTATGCATATGAAACCAGATCAAACTGGTTGGTCTTCATGCAAATCAACCTGAGTGGTAGACATCATGATGGGGTTTACCTTCCAGCAGGGCTAAAGATACAGCCTGATTAATTGATTTATGAAATCATATCCATGTGTTACATTCCTCTTTACTTCTGTTTTCGTTTTTCCTCTCCAAACCTTTATCTAAGATTTAATATAAAACAGCAATGCCCGCCTCTCCCATGCCCTCGCTCACCCGGTGGTGTAGGGGATGTTGATCCCTCCGAGGTTGATGCTTTCACAGCCCACGATGAAGAGCGTAGAGAAGCAGAGAAGTGACACCCCGCTGCAGATCATCGCCAGCTTGGCCGACTCCCGAGCCCCCAACTTCAGCTTCTTAATGATGTAGCCGCCAAGTACAATGCCCACGCCGGCACTGGGCACGATGATCACACCTAGGGGAGGAGACATTTTAAACATCAGGAAACTCCAAGTGGTTTGAGGCTACTGCTGAGTTTAATGACGCAGTTTGCAGACAAATCGTAGAAAATAATGATGCAAAACAATAAAAAGTTCAGATACAAATAATTTAAATCAGATATAAACTTAAACGTTAAGCAAATCCTAAAATGTTCAGAATTAAATACATTTTTGATCCACACAAAGGCCTGTTTTTAGTAGTCTGGTTTCTTTTAAGCTGCTTAATGAGATACACACAAAAACAACTGCAACCAATAGAAGACCATCAGAACTGTGGAGCTAATTTCACGAAGATATTTGCTTCTCTAAAAGTTTGAACACCGGTTTATGTATTTGTTGAACTCTGGATCCGCCCATGAAGATCAGGAGTTCGATCTGTGACTAGAGAAATGCTGCAGAGAGAATAGATACTTGCTGCTCCAATACAACAAAAGGATGTGCAATAATGATACAATTTTAGGAACTTGTATTGTTTTGTTGATTTTACTTTGGGAGATTTAAAAATTAGGAAAACACAACATTTTCAGCAGCTAAAGATCAATACTTTAAGGGTACTATACTAAGGGTAATGATAGCTCCACTGGAAAGAAGGTTCTGGCTGGTTGTGAATCATGCAGATATTTCAGTTTCTGCTGTTCTGTACATGCATACGTTGTGCAAAAAAGTCATTCTAGAGCAAAAACTGCAACAATGTAACATAATCAATAGTCCTGAATGCCCAGAAATGACTAAAATCATATAAAAAGTCTCATAAAAAGCATATAACTCTGATAAATCGAGTCATTTGTGATTCAATATTTCATTGACCTATTGCAGTTATTTGTTACTGCATATTAAAACCAAGGTTCTCTTGCTCAACAAATTGAGACAATTCTCCGGTACTAGTTCAGTTAAACAACTAGTTCAACTAGTATTTTTGAAATTGAATTTTCTGACCGTAAGCCTTTTATAATCACTGAGCTGTTTAACCACAGTGACAATAAAAAGGATGCGGTCAAGATGAGGCGTTCTGCATTTTCTGCAAGACTTTCTTTCCACATCTCAGTTCAGCAAAATAACAGCTAGATTCCCCAGCATGGACCAACCTTTGTAACAAGCTGTAATATTTTTGAAATAGGTTTTGCAGTTAATTGGGAAATTTTAGGGAAAAACATCCAGAAATTCCGTCATTTTTACCTCTTGTCTACATGACATGTAAAATTAGTTAAACCAACATCCCAGATGTTGTCTTTACGTTAAACAAGAGCTGTTTTTTGTTGGATATTCACCATGATAGCTGACCTCCAGTAGCAGTAGAGCCTCTTCATTTCCCTTCATTTCACTGATGCTTATTTTGCTCAAACCAGCTTTGATTTAAGTGCTCTGATCCTCCTCTGCCATTAATCTCTGTCAAGTTAAACTTTTCCAAACGGAATCTGCCATCAGTCTCCCCCAAACACAACTACTGGTACAGAAAGCTGAGCGATCACAGCAGCCGCCGCCGCCTCCAGGCAGCCTTGAATCACCATGACAGCACACAGTGTGAGCGTGGGAGGCCTCGGTGGACGGAGAGCGTGGAACCCAGGCAGAAACATTGCCTCCTCACAGCTTCTCCTCATCCTGACTGAAAGTTTTACGGACATTAATAACCTCAAAGAACACAACCCTCATATAAATAAACAGATAAACTCTTAAGGCACGGCCATAAACCATTTAACTCAGATGATAACGGGGTTTTTTTCTGTCTGAGATATTCTAAGTATGACTAATATCATATTTATCTGGCAGTGTGCTGTCTGTCTGGTTGAAACAGATAAAAATCTTCTGCGTCATTAATCCTCTGATGAATTAAAAACTTCCACATAAAGACTGAAAGCTGAACGCTGCTTCCAGCTACTCGCACACAATTCATGATAAACATTGAACAGGAGGTCAAAGCTTTGGAGAAAAAAAAACTGAGAACATTACAATGTTCTTCACTTCTGTCTAATTGTATTTTACATTCATCTCACATCATTCTTCACAATTATGTTACCAGCTGGTAAATTAATCATTAATACATTTATCCATTATTACTGTAGCGGGATACCACATAGAAAAAAATGAAATCCAACCTTCAATACCAAATTTTGCTAAAGTCAATCTTCAGTATGAGGAAGAGAGGAGAAAAGGCCATTTTACAAAATATCTACAATTATAGAAATAAGTAAAAGGCTTCAAATTGATCAAACAAAAGCTGAGGAGGTGGAGCGTTGAAGGAGGAAATCATCTCCTAAGCTCACTGTAACAGGTCTGCAGCAAGGTGGCTTCCAGGGGTCATAACATTGAAACACCATCTATTGGGCATAGAAGTCAGGAAAAGGCCTCTGCTGTCCTATCATCACAAACGTGAAGGCGGAGGGGGGGTTATTTCACTCTACTGGAACTTTTTCTGCTTATAAATGAGACTAAAACAGCTTTCCAGCAACAAGCATCCCAGTTGTGTCCGACATGAATCATAAATATGTGGAAAAGTCCCTCTACCTATTGGAAAGTATGGTGTCAGATCAGTGATGCTGTGGGCCTGTCTTGGAGAACCTTGTTAGAGTCCATTCCAAAGTAAATTCTGAAATAGTGGAATATTTTTCATAGAAAATATTGGTGTATAATTAATAGGATGTGTGCCAACAATAAAAAACATATTTATTTCTTCCCTTTATGAAAAATGCTAAAATTGAAAGCTTTTAAAAAATCTTGTGCAATCAAAGATCCTTTTACAGAAATCTTTACCAAAGCGAGTTGCTTATCATGGAGGTGTTTACCACCATATTTCAGTGCAAGATATCTGCTATAGTTCGTATCTGAAGGATATGAACTAAAAATCAAGACGTGTTTGTCTGAGTGGCAGATGAAATCACGACTTCGCAGCCCACTCCTCGTCCAGCTGAGGCGCTTATGCAACCAAACACTTCAGATCTCAGATGACAGAAGCCTCCCAAGGCATGCCCCCCTGAGCATGATCTGAAGGGTTTATAACATTTAACTGAATAATATTTATTAATGAGCCGTTTTTGAAGCAAACAATGCTTTATCATAACCTCTTTTAAAAGCTGCTCTTTATTTTTATCCCTAAGAGCGAAATTGCACTGAGCATCATTTACTGTAGCTTTAAGAACAGATGTTTAAACAAACTGGAGAAAATAATCACCAGCTGCTTCAAAATAATGTAGTTGGAGCCCATTAGCTGGAAAATACACCCAAACAAAGCCTAAAGTCTGATGTACTAATATTTCACGATTCGACCTCAGTGTCACAAAAACTGGAGCTTTAAAATAGCTGCACTCATGTTGCTCCTTCTTCTCAACCAGTGTTAAAGCAAATTTGGATTGAAATATGGTGTTTTTTTATAAGCAGGCATACAACTTAACACCTGTTTTGATCAAAATTGTACATTTTGAAGGTTATACCTTGTTCTTTGTACTAAAATTGGAGAATACATAAAAATACTTTTTTAACTTTTAATGAAAATTGTTTGATATAAATTTTTAATTTTGAGTATTGTAATATTCTGTTATGTTAATAGGGTGTATATATTATAAGTTTATACCTCTCTCTCTCAATCACAATATTTTGCTGCTATATGAACAATTTCTTAATTGAATATAACAGACATTGTAACCTGAATATCATCTAAAAACATTATAAAATGTATATGTTAGGAATGAATAAAACCCTGATAATTAGTGTTGTTTTTTTTTTTTAAGGATCCTGCAGATTTCGCAGCTTCAGAGGTCTGTTTCTTAAACAGAGAGACTGTTTGATAACGGCTCAGCTTTGAAAATAGCCAGAAGCAGTCAGCTATTCTAGTTAGTGATGCCAAATATATTTAGGCACATTAACTTTAAGATGCATTAACGTTACTTCCGGTACCGGGAAACTGGGCTGATATTAAATCTGGTTTTTGTTTCCATCTTGTTGTTGTGTTGTAGTGTTTCATGAAGGAAAGGTCATGTGACTTCACACTGTTAAAGGTAGAATGTTATTTTCAGAAACATATCTGTAAATGCATACTTTCAGGATATTATATATAAAGTGAAATATCAGAAAATAATTAGATGAATGCCTTTATCATAATTGCAATTGTAATTTAGCTTTAACTAAATCCTGGTATTTACTCTATATATTTGGATATAAATGGCTATAAATTAAAATAAATGATTCATTATTTTATGAAAGCTTTATATATGTTTACGTTATGCTGATTCTGGTGGAAAATAATAAATAAATAACAGTAACCTGTGATGACCAGCTTAGAAATACGATAATCTCCACCTCATTGCGAGGTCTGCTGTTCTATTCCTTCTCCCAGCAGCTGAATTGGGAACACATCAGATTTCTGAGTATGCTGGTCTGCATGTTTTATTAACATTTGCTCCAAAACTCCTCCAGTCTGTGTTGGCTTCTCTCCACTTCAGTGATCAGAAGAGGGACTTATTAGGTCTATTTATCAGCCTTTCCCATTTTCCTATAATTGTGAAGTTAAATTGAGTTTAAACTTTATAATCTGCGTATAGATGTTCCACTTGTATATATGCCTATTTAAGCATGCATGGTATTGTGTGTGTAGGATATGGAGCGCTTGTAGGTGGGTTTTTTATGAATATTTGCTGTGCAGACCTATGAGGGAGCAAGCTCAGCCTCTTAGGTGCTCTCCTTCATTTGAAGAACAGCAGTTTCTTTATTATTAATGCGTGCTGGAAGCCCTGAAGGTTTCTGCAGCACTGTTTCTAGATACACTGAACGAACAGAGGAGAGACCAGGGTGGAGTCCTGTCTGTCTGCATCCCACCTGCTTAGTTACAAATAAAGATGGCATATTTTACTTCTCATGAGTCTCCTGGAGTTAAAGCTCTTTGAATCAGTCAAGCTGCTCCAGCTCACCAGTGTAGATGCTGGCACTGGAGGCCGGGATCCCGAACTGGGACTCTATGAACTTAGGGATGAAGGTGATGAACGCGGTGACGATGGCGCTCTCTGCCGTGTAGGACAAGCTGACGAAGAGGAAGGTGACATTGCTGAGGATCCTCACTGCAGCTTTAGGGAGGTCTGGAAGACAGGGGGGGGGGAGAAGAAAAACTGATTTTACTAGGAAAACATTATTAGAGAAAAAAAACAAGGCTGTAGATGTTCAGAGAAAGGAAATCTGCAAAGATCTTAGGAATGAGACTTGTTTAAAGCTTAAAACTTCTCGTACTCCAGCTAATTATTTTGAGGTAGCTTTTATCTGCAAAAACACCAAAACAGGCAGCTTTTGCAAATCAATTTAATTATTTCAGCTATAAATAAAAAATATACTTTCAAGATACTAAATCTTAAAAAACCATTAGTTCATACTTTGCCTTACAGCAGTAAATTCTGTAATTTTTATTTTCTTTCACCATTTTCTGAGGCTTTTCACTGGTATTCTGAACTAAACGGTGCTTTACACCAACAGGCTTAAATAAAGAACTTAAATACAGTTGTGCTTGAAAGTTAACACAACTAAATTAGTAATTCACATAACACAAAACTGAAACTAAAAAAATTACTAAATGATAAATTAAGTAAAATAAAATATTGATTCTGAATTTTTGTTTAAAGAATGATTCTAAGAAACAAATTAAAGTGCCTTGCTCAAGAACAGTGAACCAACAAACCTGTCACCTGATTTCAGGAATTGATTGCCTCAAAGTGTTGCTCGACAAAATTTTAGTTTAGGAGCTCCATCAGGCTGGTTGACTTATGTTATTAATAATAGCTATATATACATATGTGTATATAGATATTTATACAATGTCATGAATTTTTATTTTTATTCTTTATAATTTTTACTTAGTATTACTTTAGTCAATTTATTTTACCAGCTGCTGATTCTTTTCTGTCTTTAATAAAAGGGTATGTCATATTTCAAGCGCAACTGTATACAGTTAATCTGTATAAAAGCATTCCTTACTAAATTTTATTATGTTCTCTCAATGAAAATGATGCAGTTTTACGTTTCTGACCTCATATTTGGTTTTATTTTTGCTCTCAAAAGAAGATTTAAAATAAAAAGGGAGAAGTTTGTGAATCATTGGTACCTTGGATGTCCTTGCCGAAGCCCATGGACGATGTGACCGTCTGGTGCTTGCTGTTGTTGCTCTTCTCCTTCAGCACGTCATCGTCGCTGGACATGTCGTCCAGGCTCAGCTTTTTCCTCCTTTTCTTCTTCTTGTGTCGAGGAGGGAGCTTCTTGGGGAAAGTGAACATGGGGAATATCACCAGCAGCATGGCCACAGCGCACAGCAGGAACCCGCTCCACCTTAGACACACAAAGTTACTTATTTATCTCAAACCAGAGGCAGCATGTGTGCAACTTTATTCTCTTGTAAATAAAATGGACAGTTAAGGACTTTTTCCATCATTTATTTTCTTTTGATATTTAACAACCAAATACCTATATGTCTCTAAGTGGTTTCTTGTGACAGATCAAGGTGCTGCATAAATGTAATGTAGAATGAAAATCAAATATCATTTATAAATAATTGAAGCTATCTGCTGGATGGAGAACCTCCACCTCAGTTTTTACTCTTTTGTAGCTTTTTGTTTTGTTTTGTGCTAAATCCATCAACTCTGACCAGCTTCTCACACCTGAGCATCTCTGCAGCTCCTCCAGAGTTACCATGGACTGCTTTTCTGATAGTGAACTCTTTGCTCAGAATGTTTGTTTTCCAATTAGGGCAAGTTTGCAGTAGTGCTATACACGTTTAATTTTCTAATATTAGACTGAAAATCCCTGAGAAATTAAGAGCTTAGTATCATTTATTTAATATCACAATCATACTCTAAACCTCCTCCCTGACCTGTCTGCTGTGTTTCCAGGTCTTCACGATGATAATTGGTCTGTGATGTTCTCTAATAAACTTTTGAGGCCAGAAACAGAATATCTAGATTATTGGTGTAAGGGCAAAGTGGATGGATGGATGGATGGATGGATGGATGGATGGATGGATGGATGGATGGATGGATGGATGGATGGATGGATGGATGGATCCTGTAGCAGAACAGGATCACCTCTACTCTGTTTAAAACTCCATGCTCTCTCAGCTTCTTATATTAACTATGATATTGAATTATTTTGTGAATTTAAGTTTTAATTTCAAAGCATTGGATACATATTCATCATTTCAATTAAATAAAATTAAGATCTATATAAAATCACAAATTATATAAAAACACATTACTTGTATCTCCATTATCATCAACTTTATTTGCAGCTGATTGGTCTCACCAGTTGCCGATGAAGCGAGGATCGCTCTGGTCGATGTTGACCACGGTCTTGGGGTCGACGTAGAAACCAATGAGGACTCCTCCCAGGAGGTAACCAGCTGCTGGGCCCAGTGCTCCCATTACATACATGATGGCTGGAAACAGAAGAAAAGGACAAATGTAGCGTTTCATCGCCACTAGGGGACACAAATACTCTAATGTAGCATTTTAAAATATTTTTCTATTAAGGTTCTTGTTTCCACTAATTTAGCTGCTTCTCTCGCCAAGATATTTGCACTTATGCGCAGTAAAAAGTTGAAGAGTTAATCTGTCTTTCATGTGAAAACCTTCTATTAAAAGACTGTTGTGTCGTAGTACAACAAAGACTTGGTTCTTCCACATATTCTGTATCTAATAAGCAAATATATCACATTTTATTACTCTGAGAAGCCCTATGAATCAGCTTTTATATTGAAATGTTTATGAACTCACTGACATCTGCTGATTTTGAAGGACTTATGCAACAATCCACACCATGACTATTCAAACAATAAGAGCTGTGCACAAAAGGGCCGTGTGTCCCTGTCCAGTATGCAGATCATATGACTGGGCAATAAGGGCCCAGCTAGAGACTGGGAGTTAAGATTTCTCCAATTAGAGGGAATTAATGTGGTTAAATCCCTGGCTCGGGTTGAAAGCAAACACAAAAATGTGATGGCGTGACTTAGAACTCAAAGCTGGGCCAGGCACAGAACCAGATGAGGCTTAACTAACCAGGTTCATGTCACTGATAATGTTCTGTTTAAATAGGGACACTTAGTTTTATTCTCCAGTCTTTTACACATACAGTTCTTGATTTTTTTTTTTACAATACATTTTTATTGAGAAGGTCTCCACAAAAAGAGTCAAATCTGGCACATTATACCACTGACGCTCATGTCAAGCTATTCTAAGCTAGTCTTAAATATGTACTTTTGGGTCATTTAGCACTCTACTGAGGGCAAAACAGTTCTATAATAAGCAGGTAAATTAGGCAAGGCAAGTTTATTGGTACGTACAAAGACAATTGAAAGTGCTTTAAATGAATGAAACAACAAAATAGGGGGAAAAAAGCAGATTAAAGTAAATATAGATAAAAACATGATAAAAGCAGGCTGCAAAGCAAATAAACCTGTTTGACTGCAACCTTAAACTACTAATATCTCAGTAAAAAGGCAGCTCTAAATGGGTTTTTCCTTTGACTTAAAAGAACTCAGGATTTCAGCACTTTTCCAGTCTTCTGGGAGTTTGGACCAGATCAGTGGAGGAACTATGCTGCTTCTCCATGTTTGGTTCTAGTTCTGGGTGAACAGAATAGGCTGGAACTAGAAGACCTGAGAGGTCTGGCTGGTTGATACACAGACAACAGATCTGTTATGTATTGAGGTGCTGATCCATTCAATGATTTATAGTCTAACAGAAGGATTTTAAAGTTTATTAACCACAGGGAGCCATTGTAAAGACATAAGAACTGGGCTGATGTGCTCTAATTTCTTAGTTCTAGTTAGAACACAGGCAGCAGTGTGTTTGATCAGTTGAAGCTGCCTGATGGACTTTTTAGGCAAAAAAAAAGTCCATTAGGCTTTTGATAACTGCAAAACACTGTTGCCGTTCAATCAATTGATCAATTCTACTGAAGATGAATGCATGAATAAGTTTCTCTACATCCTGCTTGGACATTAGGCCTTTGATCCTGGAAATGTTCTTCAGGTGATAAAAGGCTGACTTAATAACTGCCTTTATGTTGCTCTGAAGGTTCAGGTCTGAATCCATCATGACACCAAGATTTCAGTAATAATAAGTGGTTTCTAGCTGTAGTAGCTGAAGCTGTGAGCTAACTCTAAATCTCTCAGATTATTATCCAAGATTTCTTTTACTAAGTTTGAGAAAATTATGGTGCATCAACATATTGATCTGTTCTCTAATGCTTTTATGGAAAATAAAACACTACGCATCACAATAAAAAGAAAATATGTTCAATAGGATGTTCAATAACAGCCTTTAATGCTTTGCAAGACTCCTAGATTAATTGGCGGGGCTGATATTAATGTTTTAGCCAGTGAAGGGCATAATCCCAGCAGCATTATTACATTTTTAATATAATGTTCTATTTTCCTTCAAGCTGAAATGGGATAATTAAAACATATTTATTCAAAGGGGAGCAATTATTGAAGCTACAGATCTACAACCTCTAATGAAGCTCTTACACTCGTTAACATCTGGGGGCAGTATTGCAATTGTGACTTACTTGCCAACTTCCATTAAATACGAAAAGAAAAAAGTAGAAAACAGAACCATATCTGTCACTACCTGATCCACAGCGGAAGCACGATTCAAACATCATCTCATTTCTACATGTGCAAGCAGATTTTCCTCCAGATCGCCATAAATAATGTAATTATGGTACTAAAAGTACTTTTTTCTATCCTTAAGTCACTGAACAATGCTAATACAAATCTTTAAGACATTTTCATGACTTTTCTGAGACAATTTGATGCTTTTTTAATTTTACTCAGTCTGACAGCATGTCTGACATCACCTTTGGACATGCTCCGAAAATATGATTAAACCATGTTTATCTACATTTTAGTTGTTTCTTCGCTTAGATTACACACTATATCCCATAATTTTAACACGACAGGAAAACATAAAACTCACAACTAGATTTAGGTTTGAATCCAAAGCCGAAGAAGTTAGCTCCCGGAGATAGCGTTGGATCCCATTTCGCACAGACAAGTGATAAAACAGAAAGGATCAAGGAAAAAATTATTAACCTTTAATACATTATAGTTTAATACACTTATTATCTTTATGGAGGGAAAAACTTAATTTAGGTCTTTTTTACAAATTAAAATCAAGGGCTACCCGGATGTATATGTGGCTGCACATGTGCAAATAAGCTGATGGTACAGATAAGGTAGCAACACCATCAATCAAATGTTATATCGTTTTTGTGCATTCGTTTTTTTTTTTACAAATGCACAATGAAAACATTTGATTGATGGTTCTGTTCTCTGCTTTACTGCTGCCAAATGTTTAGGAATATAACAGCTTTATCATGAGCTGGACAAGCCTTTAACTTGTATTCTCACGGATGAAATATCTCATGCCACATGTATGTTTGCATTGACAATAAATCTAAATATTAAATGTATTCACATTAACTGACGTATATCTACACATTATATCTTATTTTACCCCCACATGCTTGCTGCATCCTTGCTGGTTGAATAGGAGAATTTACGTAAACAGTTTCTGGGTTTGACTAAGAGTTAAAGATGAACAGTTGTACCATTGTGCATCTTCAGCACCCATTCTCATTAAGTGGGGTGTAGTTTAAGCTTTGAGTTTGGTGGTGGGACCTACTTTAGTTAATTTGTATAAAAGTGACAAAGTCACAAAATAGCATAATTTTTTATGCAAATCTGTTATCAAAATGTTTTGTATGGCCCAAAGAGCAACCATAAGTATTTATGATGCCCCATTTAAATGTTTATAAATCAGGATAATAGAGCATTACTATGAGAAATTATAAATTTGGCTTATGAATGTGAATTCTAGTTGTAGCAGCCAAAAATTTTTAAACATGATCACATTTCCCACCAATTCCTATTACCTCAAAACCCAAACCTGACATATTAAAACTAAATTAAAATTGCTGGGTATGATTCCCGTCATTAGAAAAGGCTCAGAGTAAAAGCTGTTTTTATGCATCAGTCTCTTTGCAGAAAACAGCAGACTGGTCCAGTCTCAATATTTCAGAACCAGACTTCCCAAACCCAGTTCCTCTCCACACTGAGACCAACAAGCAGCTGCAGCATCCTGGATCCACTCCAATACTAAACTACACAACAGCTTTGGAAAACTATCCAACTCAAAGCTAGAAGACAGACGGAAACAATGAGGAGGCTTTCTGAGTGTCTCCATGGTGATTTCCTACAGTAAGACCTATTTCAGGAGGTCCAGACTGAATTGGGACAAAACACCATTCAAGTATGCTGCCCACTCTCCATGAGCTACAAAACCCCTTAAGTCTTCAGGGTTTGCTACCTTCAGCATGTTCAAATATCTTGATTTCTATCTTTCTTAAAAGAAATCCTATCCATATTGGATAGAAGGGATTTCGATAAAACTCATTATATTATTTTAGACATTTATTATATTCTTAATGTGGTTGTATCACCTTTAACGTTTTGGCGTTGAAGTGCTTTGATTGGTAAATGATAAAAGGTGTTGTGTTACTAACTGACATGGAAAGAACCACCTTACAAAACTTTAATGAGATCTTAGATCACAAATCTGTAAGTCCCTTTTAAGGTTAAAAAAACATTTTTTTTTTTTTTTTTTATTAAAATGCGTGTAAAAATGAGCAATATGAAAAGATACACATATTGTAGATGATTTGCATTAGTTGACGTATCTAAAATCAACATTAAAATAGTTTAGTATAGTTTCATTTTATCCAAACATATCAAAAACATAGTCACATTGTCTTGATGAAGAAAAAGCTTATGAATACCTTTCTGCTTATGAGAAATATAAACTATACTTTACTTAACACAAATAAACAATTCAATAATAATAGAACAAAATATAAATCCCTTACAAGTATTCCTTTTATTGATTTTGTGGAATAGGAAATAACTTCTGGATACAATCCGGTAGTGATTTATGATTTTGCTTTGTGGATTAATTTCAATGTTATATAATATACAAAAATCTTTAAATTTTGTTAAATTATTTTAGTGGACTAGTATGATCATAAAATCCTGTTTTATAAACATATGACTCTTTTAGTTGCAATATAATCTTATATAATACATACTATATAATCTTTTCTATTGCAGTTTTGTAAGCTGTTCCCCATAATTCCACACAGTTTGTTAAATAAGGGTCTACCAGTGAATAATGGATTAAATACCAAACTTTTCTATTTAGCATTTGTCTTGTTTATTGCAAATTGACTTTTTAAGTATTCTATATGCCGTTTGCAGCTTAGTTTATAATCAGTTACTGCTCTCCAAAATGCTGTCTTCCTAGAATAATGCTTTAAAACAGACTCCAAGTCATCAGAACAGTATATCCTATAATTCACCTTTTGCATACACAGCATTTA